ATTGCCGTCACGGTGCGGTCTGCGCGGTGCGGCGGCGGAAGTTAAAATCATAGATCCACATTTATGTTTGTTCTCCCATAATTTTTTCGTTCATTCCTTATGAATGGAAGGCCTTGTCCACACAGAGATAGGTTTACGAAACTTAACTTTCGCTTTAATTTCCGTGAACTTTTGCTGGTAGTGTTGCCAGGGCTTTCCCAAAAAATGTGTTCAACTCGAGAAAACGCGTCTTATGCACCCTTCCCTCGCTGGCACGTTCATTAGTCGGTTTTTATTTATGTTTCAAAACGAATGAGAAGGAGCGGCAAAATACAGGCGGCCCATGGGTGGCAAGTAGGTAAATCCGGTCCTGCATATTTCTTCTTTTATCTTGCATCAAAAGATAAGAATAACGTACGATTCTATAAACAGCGCAACCGACCCATTGATATGCCATTTAACAGAGGGTCAACCCCCGTTTTGATAAAATTAAAATGTAAATTTGGCGGCTCTTAAAATGCTACAAGAAGCGCACCACAGGAGGCGAAAACTATAGCGTGGGCTTTATTGGAGCCTTGAGGTTGTAACCAGGCCGCTACCCAACTTGAAGGGATTTTGACGGGAGAAGTTCAATTTATTCGTCATGATTCATTATTTTCGGCTACGCCAGTGCCTGTGCCACACCTTCCATGCTTCCTCGCACGTTCATATATCTCAACACCGCAAGTCACCTGAAATTGACAGCTTAAAGTGAAAATAGCTTGAAAAGATACGCTGGAAATTATTATTGAGTTAACACGAGTTGGTGTCAAAGATCCCGTTAAGCCAGCGCGGATCATCGCGTCAAAGCGGCGTTAACAACGAGCGCTTTCGTCGCATTTCATCTCGGGATCTGCCACAAGATACAATTTCCCTCTCAACACGGAACTGCAGCAATATTCACATTCCACTGAAAAAGTCTTCGTTGATCTTCCAGGAAAAAAAAGTGGAAGACGAACAAAAAACCTCCGGAAATTCTTACACTATAGTTCCTTCATAGAGAGATTTAAGACGAGTAGGTTCATGGTTGTCACAAACCGGAATTAAGATTATTACACGCGGATAGAATGTTTTCCATAATTTCTGATCAACTCGCTACCGAATTTATTTCCTCCGTTTCCACTCTCACACCGTTTGTTCCGTGACGTACCTTTGATACTCCGGTTCATTCCAGTTTATCATCTTCGGAATCGATGAAAATGTAACCTTTATTCCAGTTTGTGACACTGTCGAGGCCTGCAATCAAAGACAAAAAGACGGAGTGTTAGAAGAAAAAAATGGGCCCTCCCTCCGATTGCCTTTTTGGATTAGCGGTAAAGCCATGACAAGTTTGAAATTCAAGTAAAGAGCGATAACGGAATAAAATTGAGTGAACAAAGTATTCTAGGTTGATTTTTGCTCAAATTCACTTACCTACATGAGTATTTTTTCAACTTTAGATTTTGATGGTCCGTCATCGACCGATTGATCTCATTTGGGAGTGACGATCATCTGGGACTGTTTCGGCCTCTTTGAGCCAGCGGGACCACCATGAGCAACAGAAAAATTACTTTTATCTGAGATCCTCGCTTGTTACCCAGTTGAAGTATGTTTATTATAAAAAATCACCCTCCCAACTTCATTAATTTGCTCGTTTTAGGCATTTGAAGCGAGTTTAGAGAAAAAAATGTGGAAAAATTAAGAGAAAAAGTCCAAATCAAATTTCCGTTTGCCGCAATGGGTTCCCGCGATTATTTACCCACAAAAGCACAGAGCGCCGGGGCGGCTTCACTTCTCCCCCATGTCGCTAGATACGAGTGATCCGTCTTTATGTCTTTGCCTCCAATACAGGAGGCAACTAGCAATGGTTTCCTCAGTGTGAAAGGGCTCTGGACATAAGTGCAGGTATCTATTTGTTAATTGGCCCACTCCATCTGAGCTGCTACACTGTTAAAAATCAACACTCTGAGCGAATGACTGGCGCGAAAAATAAGCTCAGCGCGAATATCACTCCCGTTCAGGATCGGATAGCTAACGACGGAAAACACGCGACGCATTACTTAGTTGACTTCCCTCGGACAACGTGGATTCGGACCGAAGAAGTACGTAAGATGTGTGGCAAAGTGAGTACTCGTCTTCTACAACCGAGACTCGGGTTCAAGACATCCGAGTATTTTACGTTCGCATTGCCTGTTTAATTTTCACTCCCACCGTGATATTCGCTCCGAGTAAATTTCGCGCCGGAGCCTTGTTATCTGCGTGCAATCTGGCCAGCATGCCAACTGAGTATGAGCGCGATATGCGCGCGCCGGAATTTTTAACAGTTTATTTATTGTACATACCATGTCCAATTGTTCCTCCATTTATGTGGTACAAACACTTCTTAAAAAAAGTATTATTCATTTTTTTTTAAATTTTTGGAGAAAAATTTAAAATCAATTTTAATCAATTTAAATTTTTTTTTAAAATTTTTTTTTTTGGAGAATTAGAAATAAAGTATGATGAAAGTGAACACGGTACACTCGAAAAATAATCAGTATGTCGAATTACGCCCTGTGCTGCGTTCTTTGAGAAACGAACACTGGAAAAAAAAGTCGATTGGATCTAGAGTCCAGACTCTGAATAACATTGACAAGAAAAAATACTTTTGATTCAATCCGATTTTTTCTTGAATCGAAGAGCCGAGCCTTTTGATTTAGGCGGATTTCTTTTTGGCCCAAGCAGAAAGTCCGATTGAATCAAGCGTATTTTTTTTTGTCAATATTTTCAAGAGGCTGGACTCTAGATCCAAGTGACCTTTTTTTTTTTTTAGTGAATGACACTAGCAGAAATTATAACACTCTGCACTGAGATTCATCTCTCTTGCTTGGAGCGGCAAAAATGTTGAGGATCATAGGTTCATGTGGCGGTCGCAATGCGGAACTTTTGATCCTCTAGTCCCTTGTCTCTTTCTGCCGCAAACAAATCGATGCTCAAAATAGAGAAGATAAGAATCTGGAACAAAGCACGTCGAGAGTTTGAGCTCGCGGTGAAGAAAGCCCGGTTCGCCTTCAATTTTTTGCAGAGGCAACACGGACGTCCATCAAGCCCGAATAGTTGTATCCAGGCGCCGTGATTGAATATCATTAGATCGTGCTAGGTCTGTCCTTCGGGTGATCTGGCGAGATGGCAAATATTATTTTCTCAAAACTGAAACTAAACTTTTTTATTTTTAAAATTAAAAATACTACACGTTCAGTTAAAAACTTGATCTGAATAGGTAGTTTGGATCTTAAAACTAACTCTTAAATACAACTTCCATGGAATGAGAGTTGGAAAAGAATCACTTTTTGTTGAAAAATTACGGCCCTAAGAATTTGAATAACTCTCAAAGAAAAGCTCTTACTGCTGTAATGGACAACTTTGCATGTATATACTCTTTGGAAAAATATACTCAAGGTGAAAGAGAGTTATAATTATGACACGTAATGACCATCTACGGAATATTGACGAATAAGGGAAACTATATTCTCGGAGTATAGCATTTCGATCGGCCGATTCGGAACGTCTTTTTAGTGCAAGGATGTAAACCTCTTTTAAATAAAATAACTAAGCAGCATTTTTATCGAACTTTTTTTGTGAGTGCCCCTTCTTCATTTAAAAACATTCTCAAGAAACAAGTGAATTTGCAAGCGAGTGGCTAGCGTATCGCATATCGCCAATCCGATCCGGATTCGATTCTGGCCCAACTCGGAGCTGAATTTTATCTAGGTTGCCAATATTTGGTCCATGTAACCCAAAGAAAAACTAATCAAAAAATACCAACCGATCGTTTAGGTTACTTTATGTTTTACTTTCCATTTTAACACAAAATTTCGGATACTTTTCCTTACTGTGTCGGTATGTTCCGATAAACTTTGTCTAGTTGTGTGGTGAGATGCCACACAGCGGCGGAACTTGTAGATAATTCCATCGAGAGAGCATATAATGTTTACGACTGAGTAATATATTTTGTCTCTTTACTAGATTTACAAGGAAGTTAGAGGGGAGAAAAGAATGATGTGTGTGGAACCGTAAGTGTCTCATGATTGGATCGATAGTTGGTATCTTTGTTTTCGAGGGGGCGGGGGAGGGGGAGGGGGAGGAGGGCTGAGATAGGGCAGGGGCGAATCTTCAAACGCTTCCTCAGAAAAATAGAGTTGACGAGCGGCAAGTGAAGAGAAGTGAGGAGAAGTGGAAATCGAATCATCGCCCCGTTTGATTCTGACACAAATTCGTTAGAAAAATGTTGCATGAACCGTGTAACGTCTTCAGGATTATTCAATTTGAGCGGCAAAAAATACAGTGTAAATATACGAGCGCTTACGTATATAGTTGTGCGCGCTTTTTCGACAAATAAAGCCCTTTCAAAAGTCAGACACATCCTCCTATCTTTCCCAGCCGGCGCGGCGCGGATCGGCACGGCACTTTCCTACGTTTAACGCCGAGAATTTCTTCGGGCCTTTTCATGTCGCCGAGTCTCCATTTCATTCCTCGCATGACACTTGCTCCTTAAAATCCTAGCAGAACTCCCTCTCCGAATCTCACGTCCTTTTATTTCTTTCACTATAATAACGGAATTCATTTTTTTTAGTCTTGTTCATTTTAAACGCCGTGGCACTTAACTTTTTAAATTGGGCCAATTTCACGCTGACGATATCAACGTTGCCGACTTGAGGGAGAACACTCCAATAAACCTCTACACAAGAAAGAGTAACCAACATTTTGTGGTAATACAATACGGGAAGTGGAAAACAAAGTTACCGAAGCATCCCCTAGAACTTTCTGATATAGTGAAGAAGACAAAATATATTACTCCGTCGTAAACATTATGAGCTGTCTCAATGGAATCGTCACTAAGCTTCACCGCATCTAAACAATAACTGGACAACGTTTATCAAAACGTAGCAACCCAATTTGTGATACATGACTACTGATGGAACCAATTTTTCAAAATGTTTAAAGCTCTTGGTTTTGTGTTTTAGATTCAACTGTACGGGTATAATGCCGAGTTGTATCACAATATGTCTGAGGCACAGCACAAATCGCAGGGTATTGTCGGTATCTCAGTCATGGTCCAGGTATGTAGCACAGTTGAGCATTAAACATAAATCATAGGAAAAATATTCATCTGCATAGAACCAGCTAAATTCACTTTCCATTAACAGTTATCTTTCATGATATGAGCTTATAGTTGGGTATATAGTTTTAAAATAGTTTTAAAACCGCCAACTAGGGCTTTTAAAACAAAGGACAGTATTGAAGATTCTCTCAGGATACTCAACTTTGTTTTCAATTTCAATGTAACTTAAACTGTACTTTGCTCAGCTTTAAAGCTGAGACGGTTTTCCATCCTTTTATAAAGTCATCTAACTTTTATGCTCGATTTACAAATCATTGAGTGTTCGAAACTCACCTTGGAGAAGATTTTTTAGGGGCCAAATTGACTTTTTACCTATGCATCACGGCGCATTCAGTGACAAGTTAGACGCAAGATGTTTTAGTTACAGAACTGGCAGCTGTTACTTGGGGGAAATTTTGACAAATTACCAAACAGAAAAACTAGGCTTTTTTGTTTTGGGGGGAGGGGGAAGGGCAATTTTAGGGGCCACGATGGCGCAGAGCCTTCATTTTTTAGGCGCCATGACCGAGTTCTTAGGCGCATTTTGCGCGTTGGTGCCCGTGAGTTTCGAACACTGTTATTAATATTATAAATGGGTTGAACTTTCATCAGATAGATGTTTTGTCTCATAAACATTCTTCTCACTCAATGGTTAAACTCTATGTCTTCTTTTTTTTACAGATCGGTGATACCCCAAATCCTGAATTAAGGATAATAACTAGTACATTTAACAAAGTATTGTATAGAGGTGAGCAAATTTTGCATTTACTTTAACAATACAAGTTCCATTGCGTTCGAAGAACTAATGCCATGAGCTGTGTACGTACTAATACACACATACAATTAAATGTGATTTCCATGAAGAAAGGAGCCTTAGCCCAATGAGAAAAAACTGGGGTGAAGCGATTCTTTTTTTAACCGGGTCGAAAAATCATACTTTGGAGTTCTTGATCGAAATCTCGATTTACGTCTAGAAGAATATATTGCGAGAGATTAGAGCTCTGTGTCATGCAGTAAAATCAGTGAAGTTGGATTTGGCAATTTTTTACCCAGAAATTTTCAGATTACATTCATCTTTTTTAAATTAAGATTTTTGAACCAGAGACATCGAACCACCACAACCCGGTTTGCTTCCATAAATCCGGGTGTTTTTTTGACCCGAAATATTTGCAGAACGGTTCTCTATGACCTTCTTACCATAGGTTAATTCCGAGTTTTCGGCGTAAACGAAGGTCAGCTTTTCCGTGAACAGTCAAAAAAGGTGTGCTTCAAAAAATTATCTTCCTATACCATAAATTTCTCAGAACATGCGTAAGAGCGTCTTTTAAATATTATTCCCATTATACTCCTTTTTGAGAGGAGGAGAGTTCCCGTTTTCTAAATGGAATACTGGTTGCAATAATAAAATCCCTCCAGGACAGCGGGGATTCTTGTTTTTTTCAAAAAGGAATCCTACGAGAAAAAATATTAGCAGGACGTGCCTGTAAATGGACGTATTTCTGGAAAACAGAACTATGTGCATCAAGACATGAGCCCTGAGACCCATAAGAATGTATGCTTAACAGGGCTCACGTCATAATGCACAAAGTTCCCTGCCAAAAAAGTCCCATGCCTTTTTTCATGGAAACGTCTTGATTTCCGTGGTCATGGGAAAATTGGACGGAAATCAGGTGATTTCCATGGCCATGGTAATGAGGTGAAACCCATGGCCATGGTAATGAGGTGAATCTCATGGCCATTGTGATGAGGTGAAGCCCATGAAAGCCCGGGAATCGCATGGTTATCATTTCACAGAATTTATTTGTAGAATACAGAAATGATTCCTGTGGATATGTAAATTACTTTCGAGGCGCACAGAAAATAAATTTCTTCTGAGGCGCACAAAAACTGGAGCAAAAGTCATCGTTCTCACATGATTTCATCATTTTACTTTAGACTCTACTTTAAGCAAGTGCTTATTAAAAACAGTCCCTAATAAGGGCAATTGCGATAGGTAATGTAATAGATTGCAGACTCACGACCAGCAGAAATATTAATTCCAAGTCAGGAAAATGTCTCCTTGTGTGACGGTTCAGTTTTTGTGCAACCTCAGTTTAGTTTTTGGACTCGAAGCTATGTGCTGTAACATTAAAGTATCTTAAGCTTAATTTACTTTAAAGATGAATAAAAGTTTGAGATTCAATTTGCATTAGAATGAAGCAAGCTTTTATTATTTTAATTAACACACATTAAAAATTAAATTGTCAATTTAACTTTTTAAAAAAGAAAAGTGAAAAATACATTTTTTTCCTATTTTCAAAGTAGGATAATTTCTCCACGGAAAATTCTCACCGTGAAAACCTGCCACAGCACTCATTGTGTCTCATGCAGGTTTCCACCATCAATTTACCATGGTGTTGTTTCTTTAAGTCATCATAGAACTGCTCTACTCAATGTTGCTGGTTTTTTTAGTATTTAATTAAATAATTTACAAGTTTTCCTTGTAATCAAAATAAATGAAAAGAATACACTCACCAACTTGAAGACGCTTGGTACCAACTATACTTGACAGAGATGTAATAATTCTTTTAACAATTGAGAAACTACCGCACTGTACCTTCGCGTCACATACTGCACGCTCAACGTTTAAAATAAGATTTCATTCAGTTGACAATGTGAAAACATATTTAAATTATTTCACAATAAGCACGGAAAATAGCACCAAAAATAATCACTTCACTATCCAAATTAGAGGCCAAGAGAGTGAAATATGAACTGTAGATTTTGGTTTCTGTCTGGGAAGCTTATTTGCATCTAGATGGTTTAAAGGTTGCCACTAATTCCCTGCGAATGGCTGTTAGATAAGATCAAAGGAACTGCCAGATGATAGGAAACAAATGGCGATTGCTGTAGCTGAACAAGGCAGGTAAATGTCTTGGAGTGTTTTTATGAAAGCTCTGAAAAATGAATAATGTACAGTGCATCAAAACCATGAGTGCAACCAATGCATGATCAGCACTAAATTAAAACAATCTCAAGGTGAAGCCAACCAACATTTCTTGAGAAGTTAAAATAAGTTCTGAGGATATAGCCAAATAATTTTTAGTAATAGGATAAAATACTTGTGAAAAAGCATTGGTAAAATTTTGTGTAAAAGCAATTATTGTTGCATTGGTAGCCATAAAAATAGGAAGTAAATTATTGGACATCTGATAATTCACTGAAACATCGTTGATAAGGATGTGATGTTTTAGCCCTCTAGAGTTAGGAGTTTAAGGCCTCATCTGTAACTTCAGATATATCTCTCACACTACTTACATTTATGAATAAAAATACCAAGTAATAGCTAAGGCTCAATTCAGACGTCACTTTTCCTCCACTTATGTCAAATGAAAAGTTGGATCGTGTAATACAACACGAGAACACAACGATCATTTGAGAGGTTGAACAAAAATTTGAAAGTCAGGTCACACCAAAGTTTCCGTTCAACTTCTCAAACAAATGTTAGAGCTCACGCATCATACGTTGAGACAAACGTCAAAAGTATTGTTTCAGTCACCATTCATCAGTGGTGCCACCTGACTACATGAATTTACCTGTTGAGTGGTGCGAATTCAGAGCTAATCGGAGAGAAACATTTGTCTCAACATACGATGAGCGAGCTCTATGTTCTCATGTCTGTATCAAACGATCCATCTTTTCACTCGGTTTAAGTGGAGGAAAGCTGGACTGTCTGTGGTGGGCTTTAGTTTCCATCACACAGCAAAAAAATCTAGAAGGGCCTGTAATTATGGTTTCTTTTTCAGTCCTAAGTAGTTCTCACCTGTGAATTTTATTCACAGTCTATATGGGTTTCGGCAAACGATAGGAAATGGCGATCTCATATGATCTGACAGATATCTGATATTATCCCTGAGGAGGACGATGACATGAGCTGATGAGCAGCTAGGAATGGAATGCAGTTAGAATGTTAACCGTGTGCTGAAAACATAATCAGGGAGACTGTAACCAATATTCGATCACGGTTCATGTTCGGGGTGCAGACTCGGAGGAATGACCAAGGGGAAGATAAAGAAAATGATGAGCATATACGAATCTACTATTCAACAAAGAATGTTAGAATAGTTTATCAAGATACAGAAATAAATGTAATGCTATGATTCTATGGTGAGGTTACGGAGCAGTGGCTGATGGATCACTATTGGTGCCTATGCCTACATTCAGTAATAGGAATTGCTAATCATTGTTATTCATGACTTACCTAGATTCAGTTCAAGGCCCTTGCATTCAACTTGGATTTGGCGTAATGTAGCGAAAGCAGGAAGTCAAGAAATATATAAATTTCTGAGAATTACTGTATGATTTGCGAGAGCTTCATTGAGCCTGACGATTCACGCCTCGTTGAAAACCTAACCTCAAAATACCGACAAGGCAGGGCGAGGCAGGGCGGGGCGGCACATCTCCTGACTTGCCGAATTGAATTGAGGATTTTTTATTTAAATCTGCATGATCTATAAAAACTCATTCGCTTATTTATTACTGAAATGCGTAACGCCGATAATGTTTCATACTTCACACGCTTTAACTTTTGCGATCTATACTTGCTTTGAAATAGGCTAATTTTCGTGTCATCAATCAAACTCATCGAGATGACGTAAAAAGTTAGTCTGAAAAAGGTCAAGAAACTTTCAGTTTTCCATGCTAATTTCAAGGGAATCATCATGTTACCATGATGCACGGGAATGACAGGCTACCCAAGTAGCATGGAAATCACCTCATTCCCATGAAACTTGCATGGTAATGATGTGATTCCCATGCCATTCTCTTGGAAATGTGCTGATTCCCATGCCAAATCTCATGGGAATCGGACGTTTCCATGAAAAAAGGCAAGGGACTTTTTTGGCAGGGATTCCGTTTGACAGAAATGCGTCAAAATGGTGCGAGACATCGACGGTGAAACTCTCAAACCACGTTTCTCGTTTGCGGAGTTTAAAATTTCCCGCTTCTATTTTTCCCACTGAAAGGAGAAATACATCATTCCTTCAAGTTTTCTAGGACATTTTTTCGCATAGAGAAGAAAAATGACGGAAATTTTGAAGAATCGGCGTTGAGTGGTTTTCCTTTAAAAAATAAAGTAGGTACGACAGGAAGTTTGCAACGTCGCCAAGCGAAATACGCGGTTTGGGAGCTCCACCGTGGAATTCTCCAGTCTCCACCGTGTATAGAAATGGGTTTTACAAGAGTGACTTATCGAAATCTTAGGGCGCCACGCTCTCTTTGGAGCTCCGAACTTACCTACCCCTTCCCCTAATCGTAGAAAGCTCACGCACACCCTCCCTCACACACACCCTCCCTCACACACACCGCGGCCTCAGCAGAACCCTATCGAACATATCCAACTTCGCTCGCTCCGGGGGAACACGGAATTGAGTCTTCGGAGCTGAGAAACTCGGGACATAAGTAACTTCCGTGGCAGGTATTTTCAGATAAATGGCAACGAAATATTGGCAGAACACCAAATTAATCAGGAGCTAGACTCCGCGAAGATATATTATCGAAACTAATTGGCCATACCTCTCGTTCGTGAGTGATTCAGCAGGTGAGGCTGAGGCGTGGCCAGGACGCAAGTCACGTTTCGCCTATCTCCAACGGACGCATCTCTCGCGCCAGGAAAAACCCACGTCCAGATACAACTTTGAAATATACTTCAAATTATGCAACTTTCTTTCCCATCTCAAGTCGTCCTATTCGTGGCTGTTATGTGACCCC